GTGTCACCGTCTTGCGGCAGAATCGATTTGACGGTAGGCACAGGCTTCGAAACCGTGCGAAGAAGCTTAAAGAGAGACAAACGATGCCCAGCATTGGCTTCTGCCAGCAATGTTTCCTTGATCTGCTTCATAAGCCGTCCTTGCAGTTGCTTCTCCCGGTGAGCCTTGAGAGGTGGAGCCACGATTTCCAAGAGCGCGTCATCGTCCACAGCCCTTGCCGTGCCTGATACTCCAGTAGCACTGTGCAAATCACGCGACGCAGCTTCGCCTACTGTGGAGGCCTTCATACTTCTTGCGTGTGCTCCCACTTGGTTTGGCAACGCCTCAAAAAGGTCTTCGACCTCCATGACAACTGGGAGACGCCTCTCTGTCTGCTTTCCGAAAGGAGACATGGAGCTTGCGCTCTTCGCAGAAAAGTGGCGCTCTATTCTTGTCAGGATTCGCTCCGGTGTGACTTGCCGAAAAAACTTAATTGTGTCGACGTCATTCAGAACATGTCTTTCAGACATGAAATCGATGTCAAAGAGATGGCCCGCTTTGCTCTGATGTGTTGACCTCTCATCTTGTGAGCCTGGTTCTCGGTGAGCGGATTCATTCAGACGTGCTTGGTCCCACCTTAAGCTTCGCTGAAGCGCCTGGTCGTAGGTGTCATGACCGGAGATCCCTTCAATTTTTGTTCTCTCGCGTGCCAACACGGTTGCGAGAGCCTGCTTCACACGTGGCGAATGTTTGCGCAGCCGATTTATATCCGCGGCATCAAGAATGAGCACTTCGCTCATCGCTGCGCGGAGCGCAGCAACGAGAGACAACCTGTCCTTAGACTGAAACTGTCCACCGAATTGCTCAACGAATTTTCCCTCCGCGCAAGAGCTAGAGGCTGCTAAAGCACTTTGTAGACTCGGACTTTGAGAAATTTTTTCCAGCAGTTTCTGGAACCGGTTCCACGGCAAGGTGACTGTTCTCTTTTCAATGAACCAGTTCAGCCTGCTTGTCGTGGCAGTGGAGTCCTCCACCAGACTTTGCGCACTTGCGGGCGCGATGCGGAAGTTTGGGCCCTCCTCCCCTTTTTCACTTTCGTTTGGTCGAGCATCTACACGTTGGCCGCCTGTGCTTGCTTGCTGAGGTTGTCCTCCCCGGTCGGAAAGGGCAGCATCCATCATGCCAGCGCCGCTCGGATCTGTTCTGGCGCTACCCACGGCGCACGTCGGCGCCAAGCTAAAGGGATTCATGACACTGGCAACAGGAGTCGTAGATCCACCTGGAGCTGTGTTGGCAAAAACAGTGTCCAGAACTCTGGTTGCGGTGACAGAGGCCCTTGGGTCGTGGCAGTCCGTGGCATCATCGACTTGCAAATCTAAACCGTAGGATCGGGCGCGCCTGGTCAGTTGCGTCAGACGTGACTCTATCTGCGGCGACAAACGGGTGGCAGCAGGGTCTGCGATCGAATGACTTGTCCATGAAACGCCAGAATGCTCATTCTTCAGCAGCACGCGGGTGAAAAGCTGCAAATGCCGCAGTAACGCGATCGAAAACTGCGTCGTCGCCTCGGGGTCAGAAAAACACCAAAGCTCCTTCGCGTTTAGGTCTGCGGCGATTCCATCATCGGCCGTAGGTGTGCGTCTGCGAGCTGCGTCTTCTAGAATTGGGACGAAGAACTCAGCATACCCTTCATTGCTTCGGAGCTTGGATTCTTCATCCAAGAGATCCCGAGAGCTGGGTGGGACGCCTAAGCTAACGCGCTCCCCTGACGCTCCGCTCTGCGCCGACAAGGACGCCTCAAGGTCAAGAGCCTGGACGGCTTCACGAAGCCGCGCCACAATTTGTTCTCTTACCTGGTTCACAAACTCAGTTTTTGGTAGGATTCGTCCCTCATTTTCCAGAAGAAATTGTGCGATCAAAGAACGAAGCTTTGGGAAAAAGCCTAAGCGTAGAATGGCAATGCGACGGATCAGCCGATCGAAGAATGTAGTGCTGTCCTCAGTCATCAACCTCGCTAGCGCTGGCCGCATGCTCCACAGGGCTGGTATGATTTCAGGAATGAGTTTCTTCCTCAAAAATTCTGCAGCTCGTGCCTGATGCGACAAAGTCTCTCCACGATCCAAATGACACAAAAGTGTGTGTAGAATTTTGGATGGCGATAGCTGGTTTCTTGTCTCAGGAGAAGTTGGGCGTTGATCTAGTACAGTGCCTGCAGGATTCGCCGCTAGCATCGAGCGCTTTCCTGTGAAAAATAGTACGGAGGCCAGAGCTTCAAGTTGCAGCAATTTTACACCAGAAGCGAGCAGGCCGCGGTGCTGGAAGCCCACGTTGACCTGCACCACGGCGTGCTCCTCAAGGATAGCCTCTGACACTAAGGAGGCTCTGGTTGCCCGCTCACTTGTAGCAAGTTCGTGGGAGCCCTCTTTTGCTAAAGCTGCAAGTCCCTCCTCACTGAGCTCTAAAGCGTGATCGGCGCTCCTGGTCGTGCTTCCCCCGTGTCCGATTCCCCCACTTGACGCATTTTTTTGGTGCTGACCTTCTCCTAGGTGCAGTCTTGCTTTCTGAAAGTGGTACCGGAATAGCTGTCTTTCGAAACCTTGGATTACCGTCATTTCATCGAAAAAAAGTGACTCGGTGGATTTCGTAGCAATCAAGGTTTCGTCATACGCAGCCTTGCCAGGATGCACGAAACCGCGGGCGCACCCATCCGAAGATTGGTGTCTCAGGTACTCTAGATCCTTCGTGTACAGTCTTTTGCTCGCCTCTGTGATGAGCGTTGCAGATCCACCACCAAACGCACGCGAATTCATTCCCTCGTTGCATTTTACGAGCACCGGATCTTGCAAGATGCCTAGCGCCACGAAATACTGAAAAAACCGCTGCGCGGCCCGCAGAAACAATTCCAAGCCGAAGGAAGATGGGTGCAAGACTCTTCTGTCCAAGTCTGCATAGGTTGAAACGGATGCAACGCGTACGCGCGTCGTCGTCGACGATCTAACGCTCCACTTGTCCATGTGATACTTGAGGACGTGTGGGTTCTTTCTGGCGCGCATATCCTCGTAGGGAATGTATTTCGGACTGAAGAATAAGCACCCCTGCGGGGGCCGCGAGGAGGTGCTTTCACCATCACGATTGCTTCCCTCTCGCTCCTGATGCTCTGGGCAACCGACTCCCAAAAGCGGATTCGCATAAAACATTTCGACGAACGCGTTCTGCCGCAAAGGATTGCTGAAAAGGCGGACGAAGTTGTACCGCAGCAAAGAGTCACGAACTAGCTCTGAGACTGCTTGACACACGCTCGCCGACACCGGGTCGGATTCTGCTGTCGTTTCTGGGCTGGAGGTAGTTATCAACATCGCACACAGCGACTCCTCTTCAAAGAGCTTTCGATGCAGCTCGAATAAGGCCGCTTCGATTTCGTCGGGGTCGGAAACCTTTACAGCATAAGTCGTCCGCAAGTTGCGGCTGAGGCGAAAGTGCTGCAGCCTGAAGCTGCCCCACAACTGGCGGTCCCGGTGCGCAAAATGTCGAACAAAGGCAGCGGCCTTTCCGTTGGCCAGCAGGAAGTTTCCTGTTTCGAAACTCTGCTCGTACGGTGCCATTCGGCCTGCGAGCAAGTTGATTTGATCCAAGAAAAACTGAAGTCCGTCGATTTCGCGCTGCTGCTGTACCGCCAGCGCAGATTTCTCGAACAGCGTACTTAAAAGGTTCGCGCGCTTATCAAAAACCCCCTGCAGTTTGCGCTCGTTGGCAACGCCACCACCACCACCACGAGTCGCCAGGGAATGGCTGTGAACTGACGCACTCGCAATCCGGTGCTCTGCCTGATAGGCTGCGATGATGCTAGTGAAGGCCGTGCGGAATCGGAGCAGCACTGTAGCCTTCATCGCGGATAAACGGGCGCGAGCCTGATCCTGCTTCCGCTTCAGCATATCCTGCGCAAAGTAGAGATACTTTTTCATATGCGCTCGATTGTGATCACTGCGCATGGAGTCAATGGTCGTTCGGAGCCGCATTTCTTGAATTGAGAGCTCGTATGCCGCAACGGCACCATCATCAGGATACGTTTCCATCACCTCTTTCAGCACCCTTTGGCGGGCTACGTTGCTACCCCCATGCGAAGTGAGAGCACTGCTGCTACTCTCCGCATCGGATGATGCATCTAGAATACTAGCGAGTTTCAGCAGATCCGAAGGCCCCACCACGAATCCGCGAAAATCATTCGTAGCAGCAGAGATTCTCTGCTCAAGGAGCACCCTCAGTTCCTGCGCGAAGGCATTGTACTCTGCCGACAACTGCTGCTCCAGACCTTGCAAAGCCTTCTGGAAGCCGTGACGCCCAAAAAGGACCTTTTCCATCGCCTCTTCATGGAGAATGGTCTCCTCGATGTGATGAAGCCAAAACGCAAATCGAGTCAGCAACGCGTTCTGCTGCTGCTCAATGTACTTTTGTGCGACCTCCGTATTCTTCTTGAAGAGGGACGTAAAAATTTCGCCGCCGCCTAACACCTTCTGCTTAATCGCATCCGAAAAAGCGTTGTAGCTCTCCATGAACTTATCGAAAAGACGGCTCTCAAACTCCAGCTTCGGAACCTCCAGTTGCTGCACCCGCACAAATTCGCGGCTGTTCACGTTGGCAGACAGCCACAAAATGTCAGCGATGCTGGGCGAGAGAGTTTTCACGCCAGATAAGTTCTTACCTGGTGGCGTTCGGCTGGCCGATTCCGTGGCGCCGCTCCAGGGCAACACGCCGAGACCAAAACTTCTTTCTGATGCAACAACGTCGAATTTTCCTTCCGTGATTGTCTCATGGAGTCTGTCCAATTGCAGCTGGATTCGTTCCCTAGCCAATTTCTCCTTCGTAGCTGGGTCTACCACCCCCTGAAGCTCCTGCACGAATGCAGTGGCAGATAGTGCCTTACCTCTCATAGTGGGGCCGTGGCTCTTCTCGGCCTGCTCGTCCCTCTCGGCGGCAGCAATGATTTCTCCCGCTATGCTCTGACGACGCCAGTCAAAATTGTATCGGCCGGTCCCTGGCTTGTCGGAGCGGGCTGTCCTACCGAAAGCCTGCGTTGACACGCGCTCATTCTTCGGCATGTAACTCAAGATGACATGGATCCCACGGTTCAGCACAAGAAGGTCTGACGCTGCGAAGTCAGAGCCTCTGCCGATGATGTTAGTTCCGATCAAAATGCTGCCTGGTTTTAGCGTCCGGATTTCCACGGCACCAAGATAGGACCGATCGTACAAAAAAACTTCCGGTCGTAAGACCTTCTGCAGCTCGGGATGCACTTGAGCAACACGGTACAGCAAGTTCGCGTCGCGGATAGTCTCACAGATGATAAGCCCAGCACGACGTAGATCAGGGAAAGACACATGGCTGTCTTCTATAGTCCCATCGGCCTGGGCTTTTATCAACATGGCATCAACCGGAGACGAGAAACGCAGATGACGCGTGCCGTTCTTGCCTTGCCCACCCGGACCGGTCTTCGTCTTTCCATCTTCCTCTACTGTGGCCGAGGCGATGACCACTTTGTCCTCATCCTCGGCCGCACTTGAGCTGGACGACTCACGGACAGCTTCTATAGCCGCAGTCGTCTCCGTGAGCCATCTTGACAACTGCTCGCTTTCTTTTTCGGCGGTTTGCCAAGCCTCGAGATTCTCAGAAACCTCACGCCAAGCGTCTTTTGCTTCCAGCTCCTTTGCTTTGGTGCGCTCCATCAAGCTGCTGTCGTCTTCCCCGTTTTGCTCTGCTCGGGCGGCCGCACGACGCGAGTCCTTCTTTTTCGTTGCAGGGCTACCACTTTGCTTGCGCGATGAGGGCAACAAAATACCCAATGCTCGGTTGAAAACGTCAGGCCAAGTGGCCTCGAGTAGCTCGTCGTCTCCTGCAGCTGCATTATCTTCTTCATAAGACTCAAAATCCGATTCCGGAAAGTCTTCGTCATAGTCAGCACCATAGTCAGAGTCTGCGTGTTTTTTGTACGACGCCTGCATCTGACCGAGCTCTCTAAACTCATCACTGAATAGCGCGCTTGGGGCGTATTCGCGTCGGAATTCACCGTCTGCGAACCAAAGCAACAAAGCACTCAGCATGCGCGGGGGTCGATGGTCGTTATGTTTCCGGTACAGGGCAAGCTCTCTAACGTCAGCACTATCGTCCACGTCATGATCTTCGTTATCAAGATGAGGGCTACTGCCGTTTCCGATTCGAGCCAAAATCCGTTCGAAACCTCGCTTCCGCCTACTGCCGCTCTTGCCAAACACCACAAGTGAATCGAATTCGGCCCGGTTACGAAGGAGCTTTCCCGCACCTGCATATGCAGGCGAGAAGTCGGTCTGGAGGCCCTGTAGCGCTGTCCAGTAGCCTTCAGAGTATCTTCGCGCCTCATCTTCAAGTGGCACTGGTTGCATTGCCCGCGTCTCCGCAACCTCCTTCCACGCTTGCAGCACCGAGGGAGATTTTCCGTGCGCAATGGTCTCGAAGGCGAATTCATCTAACCACTTTTCGACCTTCCAGAGCCCGTTTAAAATATGCGTTTCTAATTTCAGGGCCCGCTTCTCCAGCTTTGAAATTCGATTTTTGAGGGTGCGTTGCCGTTGCCGCAAGTGGCCCTCGCGAACGCGTTTGAAATCCGGAGGAGTCAGAATGTTCTGCAGCACGGAATCGGCGCCGTGCTTCCGTTGCGCGTTCAGAATCTCACTTGCAAAGGGGTGCAAGGTGTAGATCAGATCACTTATAACGGCCGAGACCCAAGGTAGATCGTCAGAACGCATTGCGATTCCATGGTAAACGGTAGACGAAGAGGACGTGCGTTCTGGTCCAGCTTCACGTTTCTGTTCTATTGTTGACGCAGCGTCACCTTCATCTTCGTCGTCGCTGCAGCGTGGCAGGTCATCATCATCGTCCAGGCAAATGGTGCTCGCATCTTCATCGTCGTCAAAAAACTCGGCTTCTCCCATCTCTTTACCTTTTAGCAGCGCCGCTTTGCTACCTGAAGTGAACCCACCCTGAGAACCCCCGCCGAAGCTGCCTTGCGAACATGATCCGTTGTTCTGCGAGGGTTCACCCGCCTTTGCATGACCATTGTTCATCGTCGCATCAACTTCCGGATCAGCGTTCGAGTTACAAGAAGCAGGCCCACCAATCACAACTGCAGGCAACTCTTCATATCGGCGCTGCGCGAAACGTGGGAGCCGAAAGAAGTCCGCGCCGTACTGAGAGCGCATGAAAGATTTTTCGAGCGACCCACCCTGCGTGCCGGAGAATCCGAAGAGGTAGCGGTACATGTTGAAGAAGCTCAAATTGGAACTAAAAAACGCTTTGAGTGACAGCATTGACAGCTTTCCCGCATGTTTCAGTTGGAGAAATTGTTGAAGACCGTTACTCCACTGCGTGGATGCCTGCTCAACCCCAGTGTCACCGTCCACGGGTACAACTTTTTGCGCAATATCCTTGCCGCCGCTACACCCGGCTGCGGAGAACTCACCACAACTGCTTTCCTGCGTAGGCCCACCCGCTGCACCCGCTTGCACACCGATCTCGTTGCTCTGCAGTGCCTTTGCCAAGTGATGAGGCTGCGGTGAGATAAGTTCCTGCCAGATGTTGGTCTGGTCCCCTCCAGTGCCCTTTACTCCAACTGGAAACAAGTAGTCTTGATTTTCTTGTAGGCCGTCTTTCGCATAGAGCGCATTGGAAACCCATGTCTTGAGCAACTCTTCGGTGACGAAATGACGCAGCAGCGGGTGCTGCGAAGTAGAGGCAACCCCGGAGATCGAGCGAGCATAGAGTTCGGCTTTCAAAATGCTGAGGATGCGGCCCATGAGAACTTCGTCCTCCCATGAAGAAGATTCGCCGCTCGTAGAGGCATGAAGATCCGTACTGGAAGCTGGCATCTCGTTCACCAGACTCCAAATTTTCACGAAGATATCGGTGAGAAACTTTAAGTCGGCGACGTTGTGGCTCAGGTACAAGCTTTTGCCTGCGTTGTCTATCATCATGCTGTCGTTCTCGTCAACTACAGCGATGATCTCTCGTCCATACATTGCTTTCGAGACTTTGTCTCGAATCGGCTTCTTCGCATATTCTGTCATCAAAAAGTCACGTTGGAAATAACCCATCTCGCCATACATCACCTGGGATGTAGCATACCTGAAATTATGTGAAAAGGTTTTTTTTTTGCGCGAGACATAAGCTGGGAGGTGGTATTCGTTAGTGGTTGGATTGATAAGTGAAAAATCCTGTGAAAAGGAATTTTTGCGCGAGAATTGGCTGAGATGGAAAGAGGCGCTCTCTCGTCAGTTTATCTCTATCCTGTGTTCAGACATTCTTACATCAGCTACTACTATTACTACTCAGATGAGACACCCAAAAAATAAGAAGATCATCGATATGAAAAAAATAAGCAGAGTAGATTTCAAAGACTACTACTAGCGATCTCGGACGAACGACGTTGACATTGGGATATGTTGGGTGAATAGAATAGATACTACACAAGTGAGCAATAAGTGCTAGTCTAGAATGTCTGCGAGTCATATCTCAGTACCTTTCTCGACGTATTTCCATTCCTCGCGCTGGGTCCTCCGCAAGGTCATCACAGTTATTGGAAGAGGATACTCCCACAATCTCGTAAAATTGAGCCCATTCTTCATGTTGTTCCTGCGCAAGAATCTTGTTCGCAGTAAGGAAATCTACCATCCACTTCTGCGGAATGGCTAGCGCAGCGGACAAGATCACAGTTATATAGGACTTGCCCTCGCCCGTCTCCACCTGCCCAAAACGGCCTCGAAGCGCGAAGGCGTCCTCCGCAGCGCGTTGTGTGTGCGGACTCAAAATTTCGGCGGCGACGGCCTCATCGGTCGGCTTCCACGCGACAGAGCGATCCCCGGTCCTCGGATCGACCGAGCCGACGGTGACCACGTTTTTGATCTCATCGGATGGATCCCAGACACGCGGTCCCGCTTTCGCCTGACTTCGGTATTCCTCGTCTTCCGGGTCACTCGAAGGAGCTTCGCCTTCATAAAGATGATCCTGATGCACCTGTTCTTCTTTTGCCTCCTGTTCACCTGTTGAAATCTTCATTTGCTCACTCGCGAACGTATCTAAGAAGATGGCAACGGCAACCATTTGCGTGTCACGCGGGATGAAGTGGCTCTCCGCAGAGAGCTCCACGCCGCGCATGATCAGTGCCAGCAGCACGTGAAAGTGATTCGCCGTCCACGAGTAGATTTCTGCCGACGTCTTCGACTTCAGCGCGGTGCCAAGGGATTCGCAAGACTCTTTCACCTGTGCAACATCCATGTCTGCGATGCGCACGAAACCTGGTGGCGGGCTTTCCATTTCTGCCTCCCATAGTGACCGGACCTCGTCGTCGATGCGGTAATCACTTTTCATGGGACCATTTTCCGCATCAATCGTGCTCTGTTGCGGCTGCGAGGTTGCAGCAGCCTTCTTCTCCGTGTTTTGCCTCAGCACTTTCACTTGGGACTCCACGTCGACACTCAAGACCGGAAGTTCGCACGGTGGGCCATCTAGAAGTGACCCAGAAGTCGTGGATAAGGAGCCAGCACCTGCCTTTTTCTTACCACCGCAAGACGCAGCGCCAGATGTAGAAGAGGTGACTTCAGCCATGATCTGCCTGCTTTTCCACATGTTCACGCCATTCACTGGAAGGTTGTAAGCTTCGTGGACGCGTTGCAAGAGAGCAATCAAGCGATTTACGAAAACGTCGCGCTTCCGTTGCCCTAGCTCACGAACGGCGTCGAGTTCCATCGCTTCTCGGCTGGCCCCCTGCTGCCTCAGCTCGAACTCGAGCCTTGATGAAGAAACGACATTAAGCTCGCCGATTTTCATTACTAGCGCTTCCCGCCCCTCGGAACCGTGCAGTCCACTCTCTGCTTTCCGCATAGCGCAGTACGTGTATACGAATGGCCGCAGCTGCTTTGCATGAAACGTCGCGACGTCGTTCGTGAACACGTGGAGGCGCGCAATTTTTTTGGCCCGAAACTGTTTCTCGAGAATGCCCTTGTGAGTAGAAGCCTGCTTCAGTAGCTGGTCATGGTGCAGCTTCTTCACTTCACTCTCCGGCTTGTTGTCATATTGCAAGTCCCGTTTGTGGGCTACAAGGAGACGGTAAGCAAACAAATCTTCAAGCACGGCAGCTTCTGATGTAGAATTCGCGCTGCTTGAGGCCTCCCCGCCCAGTGCTGAACCAGCTGCCGCCGAAGCAGCAGAGGCTGCCGCAGTAACGCCTCTTCTCAGCGAAGAAGGGGCTTCGGCATTTTGCATCACAGCGTCGTACTCTGATCTAGCTGTCGGCGAGTACATTTTCAGCAACTTCTTTTGTACAGCTAATCCGTACCAAAGAGGAACGTCGTCGCTATACTGCGGATTATCTGTGGCCAAGTCAGCGATCCTTTGTTTCTGAAATTTCACGACCGTTGGGCCCGTAGCCTTTGACGTGGGTTCCTTCTTAGCTTTGTGTCTTGCGCGCGACGTCGGCTCGTCGGACGGCGCGTGGTCGTCTACATCGCTACTTTGGTCTTCGGGGTCTTTATCGTCCATCCTCTCATCCGAGGCGCCTTCACCTCCCTTAACCCAGACGTAGAAGGATTTACGATCCTTCTGTAGCAGCAGCGAATCATGCAGCATCTCTTGTGTCATGCCACTCAAAGCCTCGCTTTTCACTTCCGCAAACACGGTCTCTAATGACTTCGGAGTAAGCGCAGACGTCGGTCTTTCTTTTGTCTGGTGTGATTTCTGAGCTTCCGCTCTCTCTCTGGCCTCCTTGCGCAGTCTGAAGAGCACCTCCCCCACAACCGAACGACGAAAGAAAGCGAAAATCGTTAGTCCGTGTGGCATTGGGCTACCATCGGGTGAATTCGTGCTTTTCTCATCGAGAAACAAATCCTTTATTTGTTTCTCGATCAGAGCGTCCGCATCAGAGATGCAATCGTGGTCAGGGTGCTTCCCTGCATCGCCGTTCGGGTCGAGCGCGCTGGAGTCAATCGAATGGCTTTCCTCCAATTGGTTGCGCATATCTGTAATGGTTGCTTCTGCGATTTCCTTAGACATTAAGTGGAGACCACCATCGCCACGGTTTTCCGGAGTTAGCACAGCGACGGACTCTTGCGTCATGACGAATACGTTCGTATTGAATCCACGGAGAATATCCTTCAAGAGAAAATCCAAAGTCCTTGTTTTACGTCTCTCGGCTGTGAACAAGTCGGCGTCAGAAAGCAACCGCAGGCAGGGCAACAACTTCAGAAAGGCCTCACTCCACCTCGTCTTCACGTGATTCCCAACAGGCTTGCCCAAGACGCCTGCATAGTCGCCAAGCCACTCCTCCAACTCCGCTGCGGCCGCCGCGTCGTTTTGCAGTTGCACTGTGCGATAATGCTGCAGCAACTCGCTGCGGAAAACGAACCTCTGCAGCTGCGTTGGCCACACGGCAAGATCGCTTGGGGAGAGATACTTTTGCACCCACAGCTGATCCATGAAAGCCCTGTGTTTTCCCTTTTCGTACTGTAGCCAGTGGAGAACGCCCGCGACTGCCTCGAAACTTTCCCAGAGAATATAGCGACGAGCGACCCCAGCTGCTAGTTCCCCATCTTGTTCTGAACTTTCGCGAGTAGCCTGCGCCTGCTTCTCTTCGCCTAAGATGTCTTCAACACGGGAAAACAACAGATCCAAAAACTCAGAGGGAGCCTGTATCTGCGCTTGATGATGCAAAAAAGAATGACTTTGTTGTTGCTGCTGCTCACTGGGGGATTCCAGTTCGCGGCTAATCACATCTATGTCATGGGTCATTAGACTCTCTAGAAAATCCAAGTGTTCAGCTAAGCGCGGGATCTTTTCGCGCACAGCCATACTTGCTTCCTCGCTTGCGTACTGCGCGTGCCGGGCAAGCTGAAAGATCGAAGAGCGCAAGCGAAGGAGGCGGATCCGCAGGAAGAAGGACTCGGACAGTGCCGGGATCTCATACATCTCCTTGAACGCCGGCCCGCTCTCGTCGTTGTCCCGGCTGACCGCGGTCGCGGGAGCGGTGGGTTCGCCTCCAGACTGCGGTCCTGTACTACTCAGTTTTGGAGAAGGCTGACTGGAGAAGAGACGCTGCACTTTTACGACACAGCGAGGGCCGGCCTTCTTTTCCTGGTGCGGCGCCGCTAATTCCTCCCTCGATGGCAATTCGTCGTTGGGCAGCTCCTGTGGAAACAACATCGCATTTACTCTACTAACATCGCTTACTGTTTTGAACGTCGCGACCTCCTTCAGCAGTCGTCTTGCCGCCGCCATTAGCACAAACTGGCATCGCTCCTCCGCGCGTGCTTGGACGTTG